CTTCTTAAATACTTTCATGCTGTTTCACATCTGATATTCCTTGATGAAAAATAGGTGCCTTGTTTTATAACAGGCTTATTCAAAGTGATACAAGCTATGAAAGTGAGATCTTGGAAGAGTGTTGCCGTTTTCATAATGTAATAAAAATACTGTAATGATAAATAATAATTAATAATAAATAGAGTGTGATAAGCATGTCATAACAACAAATTTTATATTTCCAAGATCACTGCTTTTATCATTTATACTCAGGTAATGGAGAAAATCCCTGGAAATATTCATTTTTAGGAGGAGGTTCGCGAGACTTGACATTTTAGTGAAAGAGGTTCACAAGTTGTTAAAGTTTGGGAACCACTGACATAGAGTCATAGATTCCAAGGCCAGAAAGGACCATTGTGATAATCTAATCTGACCTCCTGTGTAACACAGGGTGTAGGAGTTCCCACAAATAATTCCTGTTTGAATTGAGCAGATCTTTTAGAAAAACATCTAATCGTGACTTAAACTTTGCCACTGATGGAGGATTCACCACAACCTTTGATAAAGTATTCCAATTGTTTATTATGCTCACTATTAAAAATTAGGGTAGCCATATTTCAGAGGGGTAGCTGTGTTAGTCTGTATCAGCAAAAACAACGAGGAGTCCTTGTGGCACCTTAGATACTAACAAATGTATTTGGGCATAAGCTTTCTTGGACTATAACCCACTTACTATTAAAAATGTAAGCTTTGTTTCCAGTCTGAATTTCTCTGTGGGAAGAGTATTTCAGTTCAATTTAGTGATACAGAAGGGAAATTCAGTCCTGTTACTGTTCTCAATAACATGTTTTCATAAATACCTGCACATGTACTCTGAGAGTAGCCACAAGGTGGACTTAAAAATGTTAAAATATATAAAAGACTGTCTTGCTTTTTTTTTTTTTTTCCAGGGGGAGGATAGCTCAGTGGTTTGAGCATTGGCCTGCTAAACCCAGGGTTGTGAGTTCAATCCTTGAGGGGGCCACTTAGGGATCTGGGGCAAAATCAGTACTTGGTCCTGCTAGTGAAGGCAGGGGGCTGGACTCAATGACCTTTCAAGGTCCCTTCCAGTTCTAGGAGATAGGATATCTCCAAAAGACTAGTTTTACTGATTTCTTTATAAAATATGCCTTTCAAATTCTAGGATATCTGTCTATGAGATTTACTATTATACTGTGGCAGAAGAATTATCTTTAATTGTGTTTTGTGAGTATTTGATGTAGGTTAAGTAAATAAGGGTGAAACATATTTGCTTAAGTTGTCCTGGCCTTGCCCATCTGCGACGGTTCGAAAGCATTTAGACATACTTAACCATCTGGAGTTTACCCTTTTTCTTTTCCAAACGGAAAGATTTGAAGTTATATAAAAGTGACCCAAACTTTCCAGAAAAATTCTATCCTGGTATGAGATGTGGCATGCAAAATTTCACGGGGATGCATTTGGTTTTGCTGAAGACAGGAGGAGGTGGAAAAAGCTTCCCATTGAAGTTTGATATCTTTAACTATAGCCTTTTGTGAATACAAGAACTAAAAAGGGATCCAGACTTCAAGTCCCCTGCCTCCCAAAGAAATATGGCTCAGACATTAGTTCTGGATCTGAGTATGGATTCGGAACCCATTTCTCCCAAAAAGTTTGGAAGTGTTCAGTTCTGAGAGGTTGATTCAGGCTCATCTCTCTCTTTCTTTGAAAAGATTAGATTCCTATACATTAATACAGACTATATCAGGCCAAAGTCATTCCTGTGTGAACCCACTGAAGTCAATAGAGTTGCACCAGCGACATGTGAATTTGGCCCAATAATGTCTAGAAATAATTTCCCCCCCAAAAAAGTGGTTTTAATTCTGTGTTTGGGATGTGTTTTCCCCAAACCTGAGCTGTGTTTTAAGTTTGTAATCAGACCCCAAACTGGGTATGTTTCATGTGCTTTTGGGATTGGTTTGCAAACATTTTACATAGCACTGAGCTAGAACCAGAACCAGTGAAGGGTTGAGTGCCCTCAACTCCCATTGACTACAGTGGGAGTTGAAGGAGGGTGGTACATCTCAGGATCAGGTTCTTTGACCATTGAAGTCAATCAAGGGAGGCTGTTATTTCAGTGGGCATTGGACTAGGCCTTGGGTACGGAACTCCCCGAGAACTAAATGCACAAGGCAAAGCATAGTGGATCAGGGCGGAAATTTTCAAAAGTGACCAGTGATAGTGGGTGCTCAGCACTTTCTGAGAACCAGGCCCCTTTAAGTGATTTTGGGCACACAAAATCGTTAGTCACTTTTAAAAATGTTGCCCAAGTCTTCAAAATTTTAGGGGGCTGAAGCTTCTCACACTTACACCAGTTTTACACAGTGTAACTGCACTGACTTCAGTGAAGTCAGTCCTGATTTACACCACTGGAAGAACAATAACCAGAATGTAGGCATTTTATACTACACTTTATGAAGATAGATTCTAACCCAGTAGTGTATAAGGAAAGTTTTGTGGTTTTTTAAGAGGATAATAAAGAAGGTAGATTTATACTATGCAAAGAGGCTTTTAAAAGTGTATTTATTTAGTATCCCAAAACACATATTGTCCTTTATAGGAGGCAACCCATATTTCAAGTGTAAAAGTAAACGTAACCATGATCTAGAATAACCAATATGATTTTCAGCTATCCTTGGGGTAGCAAATAATTTAAAATCATCAGCTGTCTTGAGTATAAAAATAAATAAAAATAAATTTGTGAATATTAAGGTTTTAAAAAACAATAGAGGACCCAATGCAGCACCCCGTACTCAGGCAACATTTTCACTGAAGTCAAAGGGAGTTTTGCTTTAGTAGAGACTGTAGGAACTGGGCTGTAGTTTGTACTGTTGGAAGTACCTTATGAGACTCTTCCAGCTAATAATCATCATGGGGTTTCATTATGTCTCCTGATGCACATATTCATTTGTAGCACTCAAAGAGATGTAACTGATGGCACAAAAAATAGCTAAACACTGCTGCATTAACAAGTAGAACACATTCAACTTAAACTGGAAAACCTTTGGGGCCGACACCATCTTTTTGTTCTGTGTTTGTACAACACCTAGCTCAATGGGGACCTGGTTCATGACTGGGGCTCCTAGTGCTACCGCAATACAAATAATCAATAATAATAATATTTGCTAGAGAGTGGGTTGCCAACCTGGGCATTGACACCCTTTTTCTTTACTGCTAGAGGAGAGGTAGGGGTCCTTAAACCTTATCTGTTTTAACACAAGGTCCTGGTGTTAAAGAACCACTGTGCTAGAGCATTGGTTTTCTCAGCAGAGAGCCAAATTTTGCCTTGGCATGAGCGAGCACAGCTCCCAGTGGGTGCAGTGGCAGCTCATGTATAGAGGGTGTCATGGCACTGCCCCACCCACACCAAGGGCTTCAGAGCGCTCTGCAGTCACTGCAGCCTGTGGCTTGGGCAGTGAATCCAGCACCACAAACCCCACTCAAAATCCCCACCACTTGCTTCCTCTCAGATCTTGACTGCACAGTCTGTAGGAGAGGAGAAGTGGCAGGAGGAACTGACGAGGAGCTGTGGGAGGCCCCGGGGAATCAAGAAGAAAGGCAAGAGGCTCAGGAGAAGAGCCACTCTGCTGAGTGGGTAAATCTGTCAGTCACCCCTGGCCTAGGAGGTGAAGAAGCCTCAGGGGCTGGGGGAGTAAGGAGAAATTCAGGTGAAGGGACGGGGGAGGAGGGAAACTTCAGAGGCCAGGGTTAAGCAATGTGGGAATGAGGGGGAAGAGAAGAGCACCCAGAGTTCTGGGACTGGGGGGGGAATTGTGGTGTGCGGGAGCCCTGGGGGTTTCTGCTATGCCCCACTTGCCCCAAAGTTCACCAGCTGCCCCTGAGTTGCATGTGCTCCTATAACTCCTTCAACTGAAGCCATATTATTGATCATGCACAGCTGTAGCTGAGAGACCAGTGAGTATGTCTGCACTTGCAGCTGGAGCCCTGTGATTCCCTCCTTAAGGAGTCATACCTGCATGAACTCCCACTGAGCTAGTCCACTAAAAATAGAATGTAGCCGCAGCAGAGCGAGCTGCGTGATGGGTTAGCCACACTGAGTATGTTTCTTAGGATCTCGGAGGGGTATGTCCTCAGGGCGGTTAGCCCCTCCTGCCACTCTCACTACATTGTACTTTGAGCATGCTAGTTCAGTCACAGCTAGCATGGGTATGTCTCCTCGAGCTGGGAATCACACACCCCATCCCTAGGTCCAAGAGCAGACGTACCCTTAAGAAGAACAGGAGTACCTGTGGCACCTTAGAGACTAACAAATTTATTAGAGCATAAGCTTTTGTGTACCCTTAAGAGTTAAGCTATATTCAGACTGAGGACTTGGTGTACTCCCATATTTATTCTCTCTCAATGACGCTTCCAGACCTAATTTGCTGCTTTACAAAGATGATTTTCCCCCAATACTGCAAACACGACCAGGGATCTGGAAGCAAAGCCAAGTTCTTTTTGCCTATTATCGTATATGTGTAGCAACAGTAAAAATTCTGTACCAGATCCTCCAACTACTTCGTATTACACTGACAGCTGTTTCTGGCTGTAAATCTGGTTAACTCAGTCCCAGGATGATTGCCCCAGAGCTGGTGTAGAGGCAACACTATCCCCAGCCCTGGCTGCTTGCACAGAATGAGATCAGAGTAAAGAGGATGAGGCCAGAGCACCCAATATTGCTCTGGTCCCGACTGTGGTTTCAGCCCCTCGGGTCAGTTAGCAATCAGCCTAAGGCTGCTCTGACTTACACTGGAAGACCAGGCCTGTACATGATAGGCTCAGTTTTGGAATAGCATGGGGGCGGGGAGGCTTTACACCCCCATTGCACACACATCTCAACTTGTGAGGTGTGCAGTTTGGCCAGATCCCAGAATCTGATCTCTGAGAGATTCTCTGTATTAAAACAACAGAAGTCTATTTATTTTAATAGCCGTTTAAAAATCACTGCCAAGAGTTCCCTTTTGCTACCACCAGGTGAACAGAAATTTGTAGAAGAAGTCGTAGGATTTGAACCGGAAGCCTTTCTCTGTGATGTGGGGCTGGAAGGAAATCTTGTATCCTTTGGCTTCAATGTCCATTTTAATGCAATCCAAAAGGTCAGAAATGCTCGGAGTCGCCTTCCAGGGGCCAAACTTCACCACCGATTTCTTATCCATGTCCAAGCTATTCAGGGCGTTGTGACACTTGGCTGCATCCTCCTCGGTCCTGACCACACACACCATAACGCTGGACTGGCGGGATGCTACCGCCTCCGCTCTGGCGATGCGAATCATCAGCTCAATGTTCTCGCTGTAGTTGGGCACGCGGGCCAGAAACTGCTTCCTTGCCACCACCTCCCCAAAAATCTGAGGGGAATCCTCCAGCTGCTTGACCAGAGGCTCGATGTCATAGAACAATGCCTCTTTATACACGTCCTGGATGCACTGGGTGGGCACCTGGTTACTGCGGAGGTATTCCAAGATGTACTTAAAATAGGTGCCTGGCCTGTCAATGAAGAACCTCCCCTCTGTGTCAGTCCTGAGCTTGGGCTGGCCAGTAAACATGTCTGCCAGCTTGGAGCCAGGGTGTTTCTTCAGGGTGCTTAGCGTTGTTGTGTACACCTCCCCGCCAATGTTTAACTCCACGATCGGTGACAGCTGCAGTCACAGGGGGAAAATACCACACCCATTACATGTCAGAGCAGTGGGAAATTGGAATTAACTGTCACTGCCCCCTACTGGATGGACTCAGAACGTCTCACCTCTGCATCTGAGTTCATATCCTGCTAATAGCTAACCAAGAGTCTGTCTAAGATACTTATATGATTCCCATTGCCATAATATCTAAGCACCTCACACTCTGTAATGGATTTGTCCACACAACACCCCTGTGAGGTAGGTGTGATGGTGTACCCCATAAGGCTTCATGGGAATATGCTTATGAATGTATATATGATATAACTGGAATATGTTTTATGCTACATATGCCATGTAACATACCTATGTAAAGGTTATGATCTACTGAATACATTCCTCCTATTTGTATGCATGACTCATTTTTGTACTTTAAGTTAGGAATATTGGCTGTATATTTGCTTGATAGCCTTAGTAAAGCATTTGGTCAGCTTCTTGAGAAAGGAATGTGCAAATTAAGTGCCCAATCAAGAACCACTTAAGCCAACAATGAACTTGAAGATGCCAATCCACATTGGAGCTGTCCCAGGTATGTGGCTTGGGTGGTAAGAAACTCAGTCATGCATGAACATGTGACTCGCCCATGTGACTCCAAAACTCCATTTTGGAGCTGGATTTTGCATATGAGAGAGGAGGGGGTCTTCACCCACAAGAGAAAGTCTACTTAAACCCCTGGGAGACCCCTCCATTTTGTCTTCAGCTGGCTAAAGAGGTAGCCCGTCCACCCCTAAGGATACCTGAAAGAAACTGGAACAAAGGACAGTAACTACAGGGGCTGTGAGTGATTGCTGGACCCAGACTAGAAGGAGACTAGTCTGTAAAAGGAAGCTTACTGGAAGTGGTGAGGTTTTATCTGTATTCAGTTGTCTTAGACATAGACTTGCGTGTTCTATTTTATTTTATTTGGTAATTCACTTTGTTCTGTCTGTTACTACTTGGAACCATTTAAATCCTACTTTTTTATGTAATAAAATCATTTTTTACTTATTAATTAACCCAGAGTACGCATTAATACCTGGGGGTGGGGCAAACAGCTGTGCATATCTCTCTATCAGTGTTATAGAGGGCGAACAATTTATGAGTTTACCCTGTATAAGCTTTATACAGGGTAAAACGGGTTTATTTGGGGTTTAGACCCCATTGGGAGTTGGGCATCTGAGTGTTAAAGACAGGAACACTTCTGTAAGCTGCTTTCAGGTAAACCTGCAGCTTTGGGGCACGTGGTTCAGACCCTGGGTCTGTGTCAGAGCAGACGGGCGTATCTGGCTCAGCAAGACAGGGTGTTGGAGTCCTGAGCTGGCAGGGAAGGCAGGGGCAGAAGTAGTCTTGGCATATCAGTTGGCAGTTCCCAAGGGGGTTTCTGTGATCCAACCCGTCACAGTAGGGAAGTGCCACTTTCCTCATTTTAGAGTTAGGAAGCTGAGGCACAGAGAGACTAAGTGACTTGGCCAAGAGCAGGGGGACTTGAACTTGGGACTTGAACTTGGATTTCAGGTGAGAGCCCTAACTGCTGGACCATCCTGCCTCTTTGCATTCCCCTTCAGCTCACATAATAGAGGCCTATGACTTGGGAACAGGAAGTGTTGAGGTCTCTCTCTGCTATTGTGAAGCTTCAGTGAGGTGATAGCAACAAGCATGAGGACAACCAAGGATTTGTTACAGTATTAATAGCTAAAGTTTTATTTTCCTCTCCCCTTGATTTGGGTTTTCCCTTAAGAGTTGGGACAAGAGCTGTGTGTAATTTTAGTAACAAAACCCCAAATTAGTTTGACCTATTTTGGGGCATTGTTATAAATCCAAAAGCTGGACCAGATTAGCTGATCACGCACCACTGAAACGCAGCCATTTCTGGGGTAGAAGATAACAGCTGTTTATCAGGGCACCCTAAAACTTTCCCATAGCATCTAGGCCATGAAGTGAAGAAGAATACGCCAACCTAAAACTACAGGGGAATTTACTCAGATTTGAATTCCTGCAGGCCATAATGTCACCACTTCTGTGAAAAATGCCTTGGGATCTTTGAATGCCCAGAGAGGCCACAATCTTAGTTTTACTTCTGATGGCTCCTCCAGCAGCACAATACCCCCGGTGCTGACTGATGAAAAAGTGACACCTCACCCCTTTCTGCATAGCCACTTTATTTAGTGCTCAGTGCAGCAAAGTGTGTGTGTGTGGGGGGGGAGATGGTTTTCTTGTTTATTTAAAAGGGACGAAGCAGGTTTGTGTTCTCTAAAACAATTACACCTGGAATGCAAGTCACATGCATTATACTGCTACGACCACACCTAGCCACTCATCTGCTCTTTTTCATGCACACAGGGCTTGATCATGCAAGGATCAACTCCCTCAGAACTAAAATCACAGGCTTAAAGTTCTTTGCTAGGTCAGGTTCTGGGTGCTCAGGATTGAGCCTTTAGCCAGAAAATGTAGGGGGAACATGAAGGCTACATATAAGCTTAGGTCCAAAGGAACAGTGAAATAAAAAGGGCCTGATTCTCCATTGCCCTGCACCTTGCACAGTCACTTACACCAAAGCAAAATGGGTTTAAAATGGGGTCATTCACATGGGGAAGCATTTCACACCCACCTGACAGAGGCGTAAATGACTGCAGCAGGTGCAGGGAAAAGGAGACCAAGGCCCAGCAATATTTATATAGTGGAACCTCACTCCATGTTTTTACACTAGCCCACAAACCCAATAAGTCCACCTGAAAACTAGCAATTTCACCCCACTTCCCAACAAAGATCAAACAGCAGGGCCGGGAAGCAAGGTCTTATACTCCTGAGCCTTCGTTCCTTTTACAGAAACTTTTACAAAGGGTTGTCGTCAATGACTAACAGCAAACTACTCTGTCAAACGAAATGAACATGTTTTACATTCACTAGTGTGGCTTTCTTAACAATTTTACCATCTTTATTTGGTTATTCACTAATTAGTAACCCTTGGTAATGTGGCCTAGTGGTGAGAGCATTGGCTTTGGACTCAGGAGACCTAGGTTGTCGTCCTGGCTCTGCCACTGGCCTTGGACAAGTCACGTCCCAGCTCTTTGTCTCAGTTGCCCAATCTATAAAATGGGGATTATGATACTGACTTCCTTTGTCAAGTACTTTGAAATCTCCTGATGACAACCGTTATATAACAGCTGGGTATTATTATTGGTGACTCTCACTAAGGGCTAGTCTACACTTAGTGGCAGCTATGCCACTGTAGCACTTCAGTGAAGACGCTACCTACGCTGTGGTAGGTACTCTGTCTCCCCGAGAGGCGAATTCTCCTGCTGACTTAGCGCTGTCCACACCGGGGGTTAGGTCAATTCAGCTGTGTTGCTCAGGGATTTGGATTTTTCATACCCTGAACGACATAGTTATACCAACCTAATTTCCTAGTGTAGACCTGACCTAGGTATCCTTAACATTAGCATGAATTAGCGAACCTGCTATGCTAGTCTGGTGTCGATGTTCTGCAAATCTAAAATGCTAGGATAACTTTGTTGCAATTGTCAAGTATATAACACCCCACCGAGCAAGCGAAGTTTGGGTCTTTTTTTTTTTTTTTTTTAATTTTCCAACAAATACAAGTTAAACCCTTCAGTTCAGGAGCAGAAATCACTGCCTAGTGCAGGCTGTGTCATTGCCAGAACTCTTGTGTCTAGCTGGGGGCACCAATTTGCTCAGAATGGACTGGGTCCCATCTCTGGGTGCTGGCTGACCCCAAAGTCTCAGAAATGGCAAGCAGGCTAAAAGCAGCGTAACATCCAGAATGGGGCAAAGGGGGATGCTGTTCCCACCCGCAAACCGCTGAGACCCCCACCAGGCAGAACATTGCCAGGCCCCCTCACCGTTTGTAGAGTGCTCGTGACTTGTTTCCCAAGGGATCGGTGCTCTGATGAAATGCTCATCTCCCCCAGGCCTGCAGGCAAAGGAAGGGAGCGGGAGGCTCGGAGGTACAAGAGGAACTTGCTGCTTGGCACTCAGATCAGGGCTTCTCTCTGACTCTCTCCCGGCTTCTGCCAAGGGGTACAGGATAGCTCCAGGCTCCCCTCTCTAATTCTCCCTCCACTTCTGTGCAGTGGCTCAGGTCTGTTCTCGGCTCCTGTATGTGACTCCAGTCCAGCCACTGTCCGAAAGGCACAAGTTTGCTCAGGTGCTGCTGTGCCAAAGCTTACAGGTGTGACAGAGCAGAGGGCTGAGCCTGTAAGCGGAAGTGTGTATTCATCAGTCCTCTGGCAAGTAGCGCACAACACCTTGTGAGGGGCAGGGTGGACCTGGGCTGGGTGCCCAGTGCATCCGCCTGTGATACCAGTGCAGTGACTAAACCCCAGATAATCCCTCCCAATGCACAGAGCCTGTCCGGGAGCACTGCCATGTGTGACGACTGTCTGGCTGAACTGGTTACACCCTGCTGTCCCAGCCCTTCGGCCTCCTTGCTCTGTTTAAAGACACAGTACGTGGGTTAGTCTGAACCATACATCCCATAGCTCACATGTGCTCTGGCCAACATGTTAAGACTCGGATGTCCATACGTGGCTGTGTTTCCTGGGGTGCTCAGACATTCATTAATTGGTGCAGGTAAAATAAGACCAGAGCCAAAGCTCAACTCACCCCTGAACTGTTTTTGAGAGTTCACAAATGTTTGGTTAACATTCCCGCCTCACCCCGTTTTTGATACACCTGGATTCACCTGGGATCAAAGGTGGAAAGTACCAGAAATTCCTTGGTTGTGGTATTGCCAGCCTAGCTGGAGTCAGGCAGCACCAGAAAACTCATGGGGGGAGGGGATCTATGCTAATGAGATTTCCAGTCAGATTTTTAAACCACAGAGGTTCAAAGAAGAGTGAATATAAACAGGAACTCCAAAGGAGATAGGGTGACCAGATGTTCTGCTATTATCGGGATTGACCTACTATTAGGGGCTTTGTCTTATATATGCAACTATTCCCCCTCTATCTTGCGTGTGGGGGGGGGAAAGTATCCCAATTATTCCCACTTGCTATCTGGTCACCCTAAAAGGAAGGAGAGTGCTGAATCCAAGACCTGACCCAAAAACATTGCTGAAATTCTGATCCATAGCAGAATCTTGCAGTACGGCCTCATCTCTGCTCCAGATTTTTTGAGGTGTTCCTGTTACGTTGGAGGCCAGTATGTCCTTTCCCTAGTCTGTCTGTCTGTCTTTCTTTGTGCATCATTCCCACAGCTGGACTGTGTCAGTTTGCAAATGTTCATGCCAACTCTTTTTTGGTCTTGCTTTGTGTGGGTTTGCATCCCTCTCCCCCTGCGAGAACCGGGCTTTAAGGTTTGGTCCAGAAAGAAACTTGGAGCACAAAGTGAAAGAGATTTGAATTTGCCCCTGAAATTAAACCCATCATCAGCCAAGTCTTGATCAAAGCTAGGCCCAGGTTCCACTGAATGACTCATGCACTTGAGTGAACCTTTCAGTGAACTTGGCCCAAGTCTTGATTTTATGATGCAACCCAGACCAGGTGAGTGTGACATGCCGTTAGGTTATGTTCAGAACTTTCTGCACAGCTGTAACCATTTCTCCCCAGAGATGTCTGAGTAACTATGCATTCTTTTTAGTGCAGTGCTTGGATTTTCTCTTTGCCAGGCCTAAAGAGTTAACAGAGCTGACTGCAGTGAAACTTGAGATGTCCTTGGAGGTAGGAGGTTGTGTGAGTCTCTTAACACATAAACAATCAAGACTCACTGGAAAACAGTGAGTTGGCAGGTCTGAATTTTGTAGGTCACTGATTTTTGCAAATCCCATTCTTACATGGGGACAGGTCACTTATGCCTTTCAAACATCCTGGATTTAATTCGCTTGTAAACCTGAAGCTGTTGTTGACTGATATAAATTCAAAGTTTGTTCTGTACAGTGAGTTTTTGTTACTGGAGTCGTCAGCCTCTGTTCCAGCAGCTGCAGGATTGGAACCTCACCTCTCTACCCTTGCAAACTTTTAACTAGAGCAGTGGTTTTTAACCAGGAGTCCGGGGGCCCTGGGAGGGCCATGAGCAGGTTTCAGGGGGTCAATCAAAATAAACCAGAAAGGGGCCAGTGTTCGACTCGCTGGGGCCCAGGGCAGAAAGCCAAAGCCCGAGCCCCACCACCGGGGGCTGAAATCAAAACCCAAGCAGCTTAGCTTCGTGGCGCCTCCTGTGACATGGGGCCCTGGGCAATTGCCCTGCTTGCTACCCCCTAACGCAGGCCCTGGCTTTTAATCTACGGGATAGGCAGAAAACGGTTGTTGTGGCACAGGTGGGCCATGAAGTTTTTATAGCATGTTGGTGGGCCCTCAGAAAGAAAAAGGTTGAAACCCCCTGAACTAGAGCATGGCAAATAAAGGGGGGAGAGGTTAGCTTTGTTAAAGCTCATCAGCAGGATTTTGCAAAACCAAAATCAGGGGTGCTTATGGCCCTCCTCAGGATCTGAACACAGGCCCTTCAACAACACAGCACAGATCTCCCCCACTTAAGCAAAGGTGGTAGTAGTAGTAGGCTATTTTCCTCTGGTGGACCAGCTTCTTGAAGGGGTTACAGTTCCTGGGCCTCAGTCTCCATTTTCTTACCCCTGCTTTATGCTGGGGTCACTTACAGCAGCATGTGACGCTGAAGAATCCAGACCAGTGTTTGTGAAGCATTTTGAGTTGTTTGGCTGAAAGGCGCCGTGTCTCTTGAGACGTAGGATTGTTGTTACTCTGCTGCTGAGCTTGCAGAATCCCGCTGACAGCATGGCTTGTTTTAAGATGCTGTTTCACAGTCTAGTATATGAGCTTCTCCCAGTTGGATTTTTTTGTTATGGGTTTTTGATTTCCAACTGCCAAATCACTCCTGTTTGAAATGGGTTTAAGGAACCTCCCCCGCCCCGGCTTTCTCCCCAGGGAGCACGTCACTGCAGAGTTGTGGGCATTGTACACCTGCCTCTGAAGCAGCTAATACTGGCCCCACCAAAGACAGTGGGCCCACTGGTCTGGCCTGTTTGGCTGTAGCCCTCCACGCTGCGGGGCTGCAATTTATTCCTGCAAGAGGCTTTGAACTGTCAGTGTCTGGCTCCGGAACAAAGTCCTCTGCACTAGCACGACGTGGAAACAGTTGCTTTTGCAGCCAGGTGCTCTTCTCTTTTCCTCCCCGTCAAAGGGAGGCTACTGGGGAAGGTGAGGGGAGAGCAAACAATGACCTGGAAGAGCACAGTCAATGTTTTGGGGGGGATGAGAGAGGCAGAGCTCTAATTCCCCCCAAACACTGACTGTGCTCTTCCATAGCTTCCCACAGCCTGTTGGTTCACGTCTCACTCTCCCTTGGGAAAGGGAAAAAAGGCAGAGAGCTTGAAAGGCTCCATAGTGACGAGGTTCCTGGGTTTCCCACCATTGCAGCTGCTGTTCTGTGTGCCGCAGGGAAAGCCTTGGCAACCATTGTTAGGGCAGTTAGTTAGGTTCCTCCCTTTGGGGTAGTACAGCCTAGAAGCTGGAATGTGCATTGTACTGAACTGCAATGTCAGCCCGGATCTCTGTGTTGGGCTGTGCATTGGCAAGAAGCGCTCGGCGAGCTGTTACCCGGAGAATCATTGAAAGCTGCTTCCCCAATTGCCCTGTCCGCCAGCCGGAAGGAGAGGAGAGTTCTTAGAACTGTTAACTGAGCAGGCCCAATCTAGCAGGACCACCAAGGTCACAGCCCAAGCCTCAGGAACCTGAGGATGTGGCCAGCTGTTGATGGGTAAAACTGAGTGCTGTTTGAGAGAATATTGCTTTTGCCTTCCCCCTCCAACAAACTTAGCCCCCCTTGTGCCAGGGTTTGTGTCCTGGCTGGTTCCTCGTCTCTGCACAGAACCGTGAGTATTGTGTGCTGGGACTGTTCTCGGTGGCCAGGTGAGGCCCATTGTGTACATGTCCTCAGGAGGCCTGATGGCACCCTGCAGACATCACTAGTTGATTAAGCCAGTTCCAGTTGCTTTTAAACAGATGACACCACAAACCAGATCAACTCTATCTTGACTTAGGAACTCAGGCCCCCTCAGGGATATTCAGCCAGCTTTGTGTAGGCCAGCAGGAGTTACACAGCACTGCCTTCGTTTCTATGACCGGTGTGTCTGTAAAAAACCCACATCATCAATAAACACTGTACCGTTCCCCTTGTAAGGGGTGCTCTGGCTCAGTGTGAGGCTAAGTACAGATCACCTGATAGACTGGAGAGCGGATAAAGGACTTATATCCTATGACATGAATAATTTTTAGGGGTTCTTGCCCCTATCTTGGAGAAGCAGTTAGTGTGTAGCCAGATGGGGAGTAGCCAAAGACTTATGAGGGAAGGTTCACAGAGCAGTGAGGTGGAGCAGGGCTGAGATCTCTAGGTTGTGCCCCACTTTCTCCATAGCTCCTTGGAATCCATGGTGCTCAGAGGCCATCTGCTCTATGGCGCTGTAAACCCCTTGCCTCATTGACTTGTCACTAGTAGCTTTTCTCTTTTCCATGGCAGAGGAATAGTACTTAGATTGTAAGCTCTTTGGGGCAGGGAATGACTTTTTGTTCTGTGTTTGTACAGCGCCTAGCACAAGGGGGGCTCAGTTCATGACTGAGGCTCCTCGGCACTGCTGCAATACTAGTGTAGCATGGCCTAGTGGACAGAGCACTAGCCTGATACTCAGGAGAGCGGGGTTGCATTCCTGCCTCTGGTGTGGTGGGTGACCTTTGGCCTGGGTTTCCCCACCCATAAAACAGGGATAATGATATTCACCTCCTTTGTAAAGTGCTTTCAGATCTTCTGATGAAAAGAGATCGGATCCTTGTGCCTATCCAATGATAAATAACTTGGCAATGCCTTTTATTGTGAATAAATAGGTGGTTTTTATATTGTATAAATATGTACTTAACAATAAACTGGAACAGCTCCAAGCTGTTGTTGTGGGTCT